TCTCAAGAGCTCACTGTTCATTTCAGCACAGGGAGCCCTGCTTCCGAGCCTGTAGCGCCAGAAAATTATCGCTCTGCTGTCCTCGGGGTTTGCATACTTGATGGCTTATATTTGCTGTGGGGAGGGAGGGACAGTTCTCCTCTTCACGTGGAGGGTGACTCCATGCTTGTGTGACTAAGGAGACCTGCCCTCCTCTGCGAAGCTACAGCCTGGACACGTCTACCGAGACGTCGCTGAAACCAACAGGATCCGCCCGTGCTTGTGTGCGCTCCATGCTGCGTGTTTCTTCATCTCATGCGGTGGTTCTACTTCGCACCTGCGTCCCTGCGACGCGCCACCGTGATCGAGAAGTCCTCGTCAAAAGCAATACATCGTTTCCGATATCTAATCCGATTATTGTATCGCTCGCCAACTGTTGATTTCGTTGTCTGTCAGACGCAGTAAAAATGGGGAATTCGGAATATGGAAATCGTAATGTAATAATAATAATAAATAACCATAAAAGACAACAAATAACCACCAAATCTGGTGAAAATCCGAGGTGAACAGCTGAAGGACCAAACTTTCATGTCACATGTCACCGTCTTGGACAAAGTGTTCAGAGGCAATGATTGATTAGATCATACCATAATCTTTTGCTTTCATCATTGTAGGAACTGTGTACAATGTCTTGGTAAACCCAATAAAATCAAAAACCCACTCCTAAACAATGTTGCGTTTTGTCTTTTTAGATAAGATACCCAGGCAGACACGTTCCTCATACGAGCGCTTACGTAACATCCTTCCGCACAACTTCCGCCCCCAGCGGGCGTCGCGCAGTGACGTTTATTTCGTGCGACCGTTCCTGCGCTCGGTTTCGTGTCGGGCCCAGAGATACCGCCGCGTATTTGGGATTTATTGTTACTGTTTTGTTGAGAGGGTCTTTTTGTTTTTGTAAGAAGAGGAGACATGGCGCAGTACAAGGGAGCCGCCAGCGAGGCCGGGAGAGCCATGCAGCTGATGAAAAGGCGAGAGAAGGAAAGGGAACAGCTGGAGCAGCTCAAACAGAAAATTGCCGAGGTGCGTGATGGAGCCGCGGTTCTGCGTGGTACCGTACGCGAGAAAACACCGCACGCAGAGCAAGTCCACAGCCCGGGTTTTATCAAATGCTTAGAAAGCGTGGAGTTACCGAGCTTCGGTGAGAGGCTCGGATCCATTGCGAAGGCGAACAATTGTGTCCCCTGAGAAAAAGTTCCCCGTCCTCCGGACAGGGTCCCCAGTGTATGGAACCAGGAGCCGACTCGCTATATTTGGTCATACGATACTGGCCTGTCAGTCCCTTTATAGTGCAGTTTAGCACAGGTGCATCGACACACAGTGATACAGACAGGAGATGTCACGGGGTCCCTGAAAATTAATGTGGAACCGCAGGTTCATAATAATCTGCCGGACAGAAGCAGTAACGGTTGATGTACTACTGATCGTGGGCTGTCTGGTACAGTGACACTCAGTCCCCGGAAGCTCCGTTATCTTCTTGTTTCTGTTCAACGCTTAATGGTCAATTACACCGTTAACCTTATTTATTTTGACGTATTTAAGGTTTTGTTTGATCGAAATAAACTTTATTTCACGATACACATCTCACAATAAGTACAAACTCGCGCGAAGTCATGCAATCTCTGCTCTGTTACAACTGTTCTAAGAAAGGTGATTGTCCTTTATCAATCAGTCAGGGCGGGTGGATGTTGGGGCTGAATTTGTACAATGAAAGAGTCCCACCAAGTCTCTCGAGAGCCATTTGTTTATTTTTAAGCAAGGGCAGTAACTTTTGAGTTCATTCATCTGTTGTGGAATTGTTTGAATACAGATGTTTATTTTAGCAGTTACTTATCCGAATATGCCTTGAACTTACATGACATGCCTTTAAACAAAAATTACAATTAGCTTTTAATTAACCTTAACTTTAATAGTGGTGTTTTTCAGGGTTTTAGCGGGCTGTAGTCAGGTGTTATAGGTAGCATGTACTTACTCTGAATTCAGGTAACTCTCAGTTCAGTTATTGAAATAAGGTTGTTTAGAGTTCAGGATGTAATGAAACCAGAAGGCATGGCTGCCCTCCAGGTAGAATCAGTGGTCTACACCTGTGCTGTGAGCTTCAAGAGCTGTGTTTATCAGAAGGGGTGCCCTGTGAAGGTTGCTCAGTGGCGACAGGGTCCTTGGTGCATCATGAAGCTGGTGTCAAGAGTTTTGCTAACCTGTGCTGACGGCCAGCCTGCTTGTCTTCTAGGAGAACATGGTGAAGTCCAACATCGACAAGAAGTTCTCTGCGCATTATGACGCCGTGGAGGCAGAGCTGAAGTCCAGCACCGTGGGTAGGTACAGTGCGGAAAGGAACAGAGGGAGTTTTGATACCACAGGTTTCAGTTTGTCAGGAGTTGAGGGTCAGTAGTTGCTCTTGACAGCAGTCCTGAGGTTTCAGAGTTCTTCAGTCTCCCTTGCAGCCTGCAGTCAGTCTGCACCCCCGTGGTTTCAACACTCCCTCTGTAACATGAATCTAGTGAAACCTAAAATGTGCACTTGCTGATACAGGCACTGCATTGTGGTGTAAAGCAGTTTGATAATGAAACCAATGTTTTGTTGTTTAACTTTTTCTTTTCTGTCTGTTCCCTATGACTACCTCAGTGAGTGTCTTGGGTCCCTGTGCTCAGGTTGAGAGCCTTTGTGTCAGTCTTGTAGCTGAGAGAAGAAAGAGTGCTGCTATTTATGAACAGGGCCTGGCCAGTGTGTACTTCCAGTTTTCCTGGAAGGCTGGGTTTGATGTTTGTGCTGCCTTGCTGTGTGTGTTGGTGTTTTCTGTATTCAGGCCTGATGCTGTTCTAGGTGTTAAGTGCTGAGGCCAGGTACGACTGCGCCACTGACTTAGAGAGCAGGTCATGTCACCACTGCACCACTATTATCCCTTTTATTGTTGTGCATTGATGTTTTCAATGAACACACAACCGCAGAAAGCAGCAGTGTTGCGATCTCTCTCTGTTTTGTCATGGATGATTGCTTGGATGTTAATGTCTACAGCAAAGCAGCGAAAAGGTGGCGCTTGTATAACTGTGCTTCTTCCGGTGTCCTGGGCAGGTCTGGTGACCCTCAATGACATGAAGGCCAAGCAGGAGGCTCTGGTGAAGGAGAGGGAGAAGCAGCTGGCCAAGAAGGAGCAGTCCAAGGAGCTGCAGCTGTGAGTCTCTGAATGACCAGCTACTAGCTGACCTAAAGGAGCAGGACCGAATATGTTAAACTGTTTTTAAGAATGAGCCTGACAGTACAGAATTTCTACATTTGCTCAGACACAACCAGCTAAATGTAGATAAAGTATCTAGTTTTAGCTGTATGAGGCAGGAGAATAGTTTACCTCCCCAGTTCTTTGTACGAAGGGAGTGTGTGAAAGCGTGTGTTTTTCTGCTTGAGTGTACAACCTCACTGTAGTGCGGTGCTGGAGGGGAAGAGGCTGTCTGCCCTCTTGCCACCCTTCTCTCAGTCTCTGCCCCTGACCCTGCAGGAAACTGGAGAAGCAGAAAGAGAAGAAGAGGAAGGAGGAGCAGAAGAGGAAGATCGCCAGCTTGTCCTTCAACCCTGAGGAAGAGGAGGATGAAGATGCGGAGAACGAGGAAGAGGAGGAGGAGGAAGGTGAGAGTTCACACTAGACACAGCAGAGCCAAACAAACTTCAGTCCTCTTTGCCAGCGTGTTGCACAGCTGTGAATGCAAGGGCATACTTGCGCAGGATGTTAGCGTGCTTAGAAAAGATGGATCCAAAGATCTTCAGCAGCATAGTTGGGCAGCTTGTTCCATACTTCCACAACCCTTCGCGTAAAGATGCACCTTGTGATCTCAGTTCCCACTTGGTGTGTGTGTGTGTGTCTCTCTCCACTGTTGTTGGGTAGGGGTGCCGGTTATGATGTACACTGCAGCCTCAGCGGGTGACACTGATGTGATTTTTACAGAAATCCCGGTTAAGAAGAAGAAACTGGGGAAGAACCCAGACGTGGACACCAGCTTCTTACCGGACAGAGACCGAGAGGTGAGGTGCAGCAGATCTCTTCCTGTGGGCCAGAGTGGCCAGTGTGAGCTCGGCCCTCAGCCAAGCGCGCCGCTGAGAACGTGCACCACTGAGGAGAGTGGCAGTTGAGAGTCAAGGGTCTGCTGCCTTTTTTTTTTTGCTAAAGTAGAATGAAAAGTGATAATGTTTTTGTATGAGAACAGGAGGGACGAGGTGAGCAGCAGTATGTGTTACGTGTCTCATGTGGGGACACCTGCGTGTTTGAAGTCAGTAGTGGGGGGTTAGTAGTTGCTCCGGCCTCTCAGGCTCTTGGTGACCCTTGACCTCCCAGGCACTTGCAAGCATGCGGTGCTGTTGGTGAGGGGTGCGCCTCTCCTGCAGGCGGCGCCCTACAGGTAGGGGGGCTGTGCTGCCCATGAGGTTTTAAAGACGAGTGGCGGGAAGGGGGGGGGCGCATTTCCTCGTTCCCTCCTCGGTGTGATCGCAGGGATCAATAACGGGAGGAAAGGCTCCATCGTCTCTTCCCAATGGTGTAGGAGCAGAACCCAGAAAAATTGGCAGACCTAAATGTATTGGGAGAAAGTCGTTTGAACCCGTGTGTGGGAGGAAATAGCAGCTGCATTGAAGGGAGCAGGAGAGGGAGGGGGCCCGCTCTGTGGCGCGGGTGGGACCACCGTGGGGCGCTCAGCAGCGCCCCCCAGAGGCCTGACGGTGCTGTGTTTCATTCTCCTCCCGTGCGCAGGAGGAGGAGAACCGTCTGCGTGAGGAGCTGCGACAGGAGTGGGAGCGCAAGCAGGAGAAGATCAAGAGTGAGTGAGCTCCGCAGTCGCCCGAGGTCCCGGCGGGCGTGGCTTTCGGTCGCCGGCGACCGTGAAAGCACAGCCACGGCAAAACGTGGCGCGGCGTGGTAAACCCAGGGAAAACACTGCGGGAAGAACCCTTAGGGAGTTGAACCTTCTTAAGGGTCGCTCCCAGAATGTGCTAAGCATTTGCAGCAGAAACAGTGATGCATTTGCGGCCTTCTCTGTGTGGGTCAGTATGGCCAAAATCGGCACACAGCAGCGCCTGGCAGCATGGCGTCAGTTTAAAAGCGCACACACACACACACACACACACACACACACACACACACACAAAACTACACTAGGTAGTTAGTTTTTGATCTTACTGTCAGATTGTTTTAAG